TCACCGTGTTTTTCAATGGCTTCACCCCAAGTATGTGTGGCATACACTAGAAGATCCCCAGTAGACCGGTTTTTCCGAAAGCCGTACTGGTGGTCGGACAGGAGATCATTTTCTTCCAGGTATGCTAGGAGCTTATTATTGACCACACGTTCCATACTTTTACAAAGGATGGACGTGATCGCAATTGGTCTATAATTGGCCGGGTCAGCACGACACCCCTTTTTTGGTACTGGTTGCACATTTGCAACTTTCCACGATTTGGGGACTTGAGCAGTTGCAAGAGAGAGGCGAAACAAACGAGTTAGTACAGGAGACAACTCAGGGGCACAATTCCGCAAGACAACTGCAGGTATACCGTCAGGGCCACTGGCTTTGTTCACGTCGAGGTTACGAAGAGTTTTTAGGACCTCTTGCTGGTGTATGCGTATCTCCGGCATAAAGGAGTCGCATGTTGAAAGAATGGGTGGTAATTTGTTTCCAGCATTGAGACGTGAGTTTTCTGCAAATAGAGACGCTAGAAGATTAGCCTTGTCAGTTGCAGAGACAGCCAGTGATCCATCAGATTTCTGCAGAGGCGGCAGCGAAGAACGGCAGAAGTTCGCTTCAACCGACTTTGCGAGGGACCAGAAAGCTTTATTACCACTAGGGTGTGTGGCTAACTTACGCCCGATGCGGTTAGTTCGGTTGAAACGAGCTTTTCCCAGGACCCTCTTGTAGGACTTGGTGGCAATACTGAATTCTCTTTTTTTCGTCTTTACGTCCGGTGCATTGAGAGTACGTGCGTCCGCCCATGCTACAAACGCCGATTGCTTACGGGCTTCTGCAGCAGCGCACTCAGCGTTGTACCACGGAGGTGTCTTGCCATCGGGCGAAACGTCAGAAAATGGTATAAAATATTCCATTGCCTGGCGTATCACATCCGATATAGCACTCTCACTGCTCGACGGATCGTTGGTAGAGAAACAAACTTGCCGCCAAGGGTAAGATGCAAAGAAGTGCCGCATCTCGTCCCAACTGCTGAACTGTATCGCCACACCCGCCTCTTTACTGAGGAGTCTGGAGCAGGAGGGTAAAAGTTTGATACAGATTTCACTAGACAGTGGTCTGAGGTTCCCAAGGGGGACGAAACTGAGACCGAGAACCTATCAGGATCAGTTGTTAACAGAAGGTCCAAGCAGTTGGGTGTGTGTCCATCAACATCCGGTATCCGAGTGGCTTCCTGAACTAACTGAGAGAGATCTAGCGATAGTGCGAAATTGCGCGCCTCTCTCCCAGCATGATCAGTTTTTAAGAATGGGAACAGCCACTCCTGGTGGTGGGCATTAAAGTCTCCCAGAAATACCAGTTGAGCGGTTGGATATCGATGTTGGACGATGTCAGCTTTTTCGCTTAGGTAATTAAACAACTGAGTCGTCTCCCGGTCACCGCTATGTGAACGATAAACGCATGCATAAACTGTTCGCTCGAAACCTGTGTCAACCAAGCACCACAGAACCGAGAAGTTTGGTACCTCCAAATTACGAAGACGTTGGTAGCAGATGTTACTACAAGCGTACATGCAGACCCCTGCCCGAGCTTTAAAATTATGCTCAAGAGAATACCCGGGGTACTCAAGATATGCTACATCCGCTGGGCTGTGAATTTGCGTCTCCGTGAGAAAGAGTAAATGCGGCTTAGCGGTCTCGAGGTGGTGGTGGACCGCATAGAGATTAGAGTGCAATCCTCGAATGTTAGAGAGGTGCACTGAAAAAGACTGAATTACTAGCGTTTTCCTGCGGCTTCGCCCGCATAGTACATTAACCACCAACATATCATATACTAAAAGCTTCTCCGAAACACGCTGTATCTCATGGTATGAGTATTATTCCAATCGGTTCTGTAGATATCGCAGTATAACCGAACAAAAAAATCGGCTGTAGATTTATTAGTATAGATTATAAATTGTTATATAAAGCTTTTTTAATTTTCCTTTTAATTGATAATATTGGTTTCACAGCTATTATGAACTTAGATTTAACAAAGAGACTGTGTAATTGTACTCATAGTCCAAAATATTATTATGGTGGGAATTATTATGTTAGTATCCGAGTATCACAGACATTTGTTCATGCCTTATTCAGAACTTCAGTTTGTTTTTGTGATTTTCTTTTACATATTTAGGTGATACTCAATACTCAATCGTTCAAACTACTTCGTCTTGTACGTTCGTACTTGTAACTTTTAGTATGTTTACTATTATCTGTATGAGTTTGTAATACCACTTATATAATAGTATGATTGGAAATAAAAGGTAGTCTTAATATTTATTTCCTTATGTATAATAAAATGATATAAAATAAATAGGTATCTATTGTAAATTTTTTTCTATATTAAAAAGGATCGAACGTTAATGTTATTTGCTTGATGGAGCGCCTTAAGTATCATCATTATTATTTTCCTATCCTACATTTTTACATGTTTCTTTAAGAATTGGTACAGTTTAGTCTTAAGCATATAAAGTTGTACTCGTCTTATTAACATGATAAGCATGTGAATCCTATTAAAAGTTGTTTATTTGTAATCTTGTAAGTAATATAATTAAAACTTTTAATTGAGTACACAAAGTATTTATTCTTTGTTGATGTTATATCCTTATAAAATATTATCTTACCAAATTAGTAATACTGCAAAGTACAATTTTTAAATAATTTTAATGCAACATGAATAATAATAATAATAAATGTTGGGACATTAACACCCAGCACCATCTAGTTCCATGGTAAGCTACGAGGCTTGTGTTATGGATACCAGATAGTTAATACACTACACATAACTTTAAATACATACATATTACGAGTATAAATATAAACACCCATGGCTGCAGTACAAACATTCGTACTCATCACACAAATGAATGCCCCAGCGAGACTCGAACCCGCGACCGCTGGCACATCAAGTAGGGTCACTACCAACTGAGCCAAACGTGTCGTCAAATATCTACATATTTGTATTAAAAAATGGACAATAGTGTCTCCAATTAAGTAGCTTTAAGTTACACTTAATTTAATAAAGGCTTGATAAAAACAGATGAACAGATATTAGTAAAAAATATCACTGTTTTTTTATCCGGCTCCTTAAATAACTCGACACTCACTAATATCCCCAAATACACCTACACACGTACTCGCAGAGGCACGCTCGCACGCACGCAATGCGCAAGCACGCATGCACGCATACGTTCACACTTTTTGGGTTACAATCTATATGTTAATCATTAGATTAATAGCATTATGGCGTACAAAATTCGCTAAAACCTCTTTTTCATCAAGTATCATTTTACCACCAAACATCCTTTACCTAAAAATATAAAATATATACATACCTACCAATCTTTCAACAAAAATGACATATCTAACAAAAGGCATGTATACACTTTTATTCAAAAGAGTTAAGTTTAATTATTCAATTCAATTTTCTTGTTAATGACTTAATATTTTTATTGTATGCACCGTCGATAGCTAAGACGGTGCATTTTTAATATTTCAATGATGCAGAAATGTATTTGATTAATTGCATCGAAAGGCAACAATGTTATTAAAAATCAAGTTTAGTAAAAATATATTCAACATAAACTTTGTTAACCTTTATTTATTCTGAGTCTGAACTAGTCTGGCTGGGTTACATCAGTTATTATGGGTAGGGTTATTAGTAAATTGTACATATATCTAAGTATATGAAATATGATGTATAACTGCGTCCAGTATTATGCAATGCATAGATGGTAAAATATGTGAGAAGTTCCCTTAGCCTAGTTGTTTTACACAAACCTCGCTCATTATTTTGCTGTACATAATAAACCGAGCGAATTGTTTTATCGACGAACATAACAAAATTTTAAGAACGATCAAACAGTAGGGAATATTGCTTCTGAATTAAGCATATATTAGTATTTTTTAATGTTATTTCTTTTTGAAAATAATTATTGAAAAGTGAAAAAATAGGTTACATCAGTCAGGACTAATAGTTTTATGCGTATTGATGAACTTAATAATAGACAGATATTTCGAATACCCTGATTGGCATGGGCGGGGAACGCTTTCTTCATGTTTTTGTATACTGATTTATTACTAATTTCTTTCTATGATGAACCCTAACCTAAACATAATGATAATATAGTATATTTGAACTGACTTTTGCCTTAACATGTTAATTACAACTTGCACAATATTGTAACTAACAGGCTAACTATTAAAAATTTACCTGATGACAAGGATGATTCTAAAATAATATTTGTTTTTTTTTCATATTATCTTTCAAACATTATTTTCATGTCTTTCTGGACTAGAATAAGATCCGATTGATTAGTGATTTAGTAAAGGCCATAGTGACAAGTATTTGGCGTGGTTAGGGACTGGACATGATTATTGATAGTCCTATCTTCACAAGTTTCACAGTGTCGGTTTATGTTAATCGGTTGTGATTTGGGGGAAGGCGTTCAAAATGTACCGAGAAGTTTTTTAGACTTCAAAAAATCCGCGTTTTTGATATAAGTTTTTTAACAATTAAAAAAAACAAATCTTTACTTGGCTTTTAGGTGCTAATTTAATTTAATTCATTAAATATTAAATAAATAAAATTCATTAAATAGTACGTAAGAATTTAGGTTGTTATTTTTCAGTTAGTCACATACAAGAGTGGCAAAGATATTGAACCATACAGCCTCATCTTTTTTCCTTCATATCCACTAGGTGTTATTAATTTGCCCCTAGCATGTCTGGTTGTATGTATCACTTTTTTAAATATTATTTCCGAATAAATATTTTTTATGCTTATCGACTTAGATACTTAAACAGTAAAGTATAAATAACTTAAAAAAATCAGCTGAATGTCATCAAACCATTGCATTCAAAAACTAAAAAATGCTTACATGTTAGGATATATATTTTCGCGCCAAAATTGCATCGCGTCATTATAACAAAGTACAAATATTTAATTTTACTATAATTAAAATAAATCTCAACATGTTTTCTCCTGAAGAGCAACAAATTGGAATATGTCTTTTAAAATCTAATTTAGAAGAAATAGAACACGACTTAATAGCACAAGTAATTAGAATTTTAATGGTTTTTTAAGAAATATATAAATGAAACTTACTTGAAATAAAGCCTGTTACCTTAATTATAGCGTTCCGCAATACCTACCTTGGATGCTGAAAATGAACAAAAGTATCGTGAAACTATGGCTGCTCTTCGTGTAGCTCGTTCTTATAACGTCGAAATTGAGCGTCTGAAATTTGAGAACGGTATGTTACAAATTACATAGTCTACTATTTAAGAATAATGACAATTAAATTTCATTCAATAAATAATTCTACCTACATCTATTTTTTATTACTAAAATGATGACAATTAAAATCGTTTTGAACAATGTAAATAAATTAAATACGAAAAGTTAATGTAACTATCATATATCAATATATACCTATAGTAAAATTCTAAGTGAGTCGAATTTATATACATCAAATACTTTTTTGGAAATGTATTGTTATTGAAATAGTCATTATTTTGGATACAGAGGCCGAATCTATAGTTTTTAGAATTTTTGTCTGTCTGTTTGAGAACAGATCACGAGAAAAGTACTCGACAGATTTTAATGAAATTTAGTATGACGATAGCTGGTTATCCGGGTCAACATATAGGATACTTTTTACTGCGGGAAAATATCTCATCTTTGATAAATCTATACTAAACGTTAAAACGTAAGTAGGAACGAACCCGAGTAGAGTGAGGGTGAGTTGCTAGTATTATCTAATCTTGTTAACTTTGTTTCATATTTATATAAAAAAAGATTCCAACGAATTGAGAACCTCCTCTTTTTTGGAAGTCGGTTAAAAAATGTTTCTAGAATTAACAAATAAACATTATTTTATAGTTATATAAGTAACTAGCGACTCACCCTCGCTTCGCTCGAGTTCGTCCCTAGCATGCTTCCCCATACAAACTTTCATCCCCATTTGCACCCCCTTGAGGGAAAATTTCCGGGATAAAAAGTACCCTATGTCCTTCCCAGGGTCTCAAACTATCTTCTTATCAAATTTCATCTAAATCGGTTTAGTAGATCTAGAGATTACCCCCTACAACGTCATAAACTCACAAACTCAAAAATCACAATATCAGAAACTTTACCTCTTTATAATATTAGTATATATACATAAACATATATAGTTATACTAGAAGAACCCGCGGCTTCGGTAGCACTAAAACTACAAAACAAACTCTAAAATGGTAGGTTTCATACAAACTTTCATCCGCTATTTTACCCCCTTATGCGATGAATTTCAGAAAATGCTAAAACACGTATTTAATTAATTGTATTGAAAGAGCATTTATACCAGATTTCAAGTGATTCTGATCATAAATATTTTTTTGGATTGTATTATAACGTGTTTTCCCGTGGGAAAGAGATAATTTCCCGCGGTAAAAAGTAGCCTATGTCACACTTCAGCCTCCAACTATCTTCACACAAAAAATCATGCTAATCCGCCAAGTCGTTTCGACGTGAAAGAAAGACAACAACAACAAACAAACACACTTTCACATTTATAATATTAATAAAGTATGGACTTACAATTTACGTTATTATAGTGAAGCTTACTGCTAAACGTATGCAACTAAAGAGACAATGTGAAGAGATAACAGATGCTCTTGAGAATGCGCGTAGCACACGTATAGAATTGGACATTTCATTAAAAAGAGAAGTACAAGAAATGGAATTAGAAATGTACGTCAAATCAAACTTTATTACTTATTTAAGGTTCTACGATTGAGCTGAATATATGTAATTTTCTATAAACAAAGATCCCTACCCTAATCGTGCATCTTAATGAGATTTAAGCTTTTAAAGCTAAAAGAATCCTTCAATGAATAAACAAAGTGGGTTGTGTTTCTTTAATATTTTTAACCGACTTCCAATTATTCCAAAAAGGAGGAGGTTTTCAATTCGTCGGAATCTTTTTTTTTATGTATGTTCACCGATTACTCGAAGACGCCTAATTTTTTTTTGTTTCAAGGGGTATACTTCCCTATAATATATATACAAATTTTTTCGAAATCGATCGAGCGGTTTTTAAAAAAATCAACAATAAATATTTTTCTTTAAATAAATTGTTTTATCGATTATGTTATTCAAAAACTTTCTTCTTACAAATTACCTGCTTATTACGTCTACACTAAAAATGGAAAAATCAAAAAATAAAAACCGACTTCCAGGCACTAAAATGTAAAAAATAACTAAACGGAGGTTTTCATTTAGAATAGATACCTATATACCTAGATATTTTCGAAGTCGGTGCCAGCCCACAATATTTTAAGATATGAATATATAATAGGTAAATATGTATTTTACGTATCGAAATATGTTAGATTTGCTTTGCATCGGCTGGCACCGACTGAAAATATCTGATTAGGTATCTACTTATACTAAATGAAAACCTCGGTTTAGTTATTTTTTACATTTTAGTGCCTGGAAGTCTGTTTTTATTTTTTGTTAAAAAGTTTTATCAATATTTTTTATAAGGCTTTTTGTGTCGACAATTTTATTTTTTGTGTGAACATATCACATGTTTCTCTGCAAATATTTTCAGACGTAAGTATGAAGACACTCTGCGGGACTTGGCAGAACGATTTCGTAAGACCCGCGTTTTTTATGTAAGTGAATTGTTTATTTTCATAATAACTGCCTCGGTGGTCTTATGTCTCGCATGTACGAGTGTAGATCCGGAGGTCCTGGGTTCGAGTCCTCGGGTCAGGCAAAGCTTAATTACTGAGTTTTTCCGTTAAAATATTCTCAGTTACAGCCTGGACTTGTGAAGCTTGTGGTGTTTCACACCCGTGCCTCGGAGAGCACGTAAAGCCTGTCCTGCGCCTAAGCTCCCATTGGACTTACAAAGGAAAAGGAATAGAGAGTGTATGTAGTGTCTGCGCGTACACAGACACACGTACTGCACTATATATCTCCTGCACATCTGGCTAGTCGCAGTGAGATTGACCGCCGTGGCCGAAATCGATCAGGAGGCCATAATTTTTTTCATAAACTTTAAAACTAAACATAATGTATGTGTGTATGTATATGTGTATATTTATACTATAATTGATGTTTGTAGTTTGTATCTACACCGCACTTCATTATTATTATTATTATTTTTCTCACGCTTGAGGGTTTGTGGTAGAGATCTCTTAAAGAGATAAAAAACACATGATATCTGTTTTCTATTTTATCTTTTGTGGTACATAAATGGGTAAATAAAAATAATAAATACAAAATAAAATAATTCTAAACACACTAAATAACATGTACCTATATTGTTTTTGCCGAAGGATGAAGAGGAAATGAAAATAGAAATGGAAATGGTAAAGGAAATTATTTTAGAATTGCAAAACGAAGATCAAAGTCGACAAATAGACGTCACGGAGCTAAAAAGTAAACTTAACGACCTAGTTAACAATGTGCCAGCAAATATTCTTTGCATTATGTAATTATTTTTTTTTAAATATTTTATTCGATGTATCTACATATTATATTATGAGAATAGACTAGTGTAATTGCTGACATATACAATAGTAAGGGACTCATATTTAATACGGTTCTTGATATATAAGCGAATGTATGGGACAGAAATCTGACTTAGGTTGAAAATTGTGCTAACGAACTCAGATGATGATAACAATCACCATCAAGTATATCCAAATCTCTGTACGTATTTGACTGAAATTTTCACATTAAAATGATAAGAAATCGACAAGTATTTTTGAAATTCTTTTAAATTGTGAAGACAGGTGCCAAAGTTTGTATGCGAAATCATATTTTTCGAGTGTTAAAATTTAAAAAAGAGCTAATCAAGCTGTGTGAATTTGTTATTTCGACGGGGATTTAAGTTTACATAATATTTATTGTATGTGCAATGCAATCTTTTTTATTACTCTTTGTAACTTGCATACTATATCGCCTGTTTGTGGGTTAATATTTTTGGTAAAATAACATAATATAGTGCCATATCTATTTATATAAAACTCGATCTATGTTTGTTTCTTATGGACTCTAAAATGGCTGGAGCGATTTTGATAACATTTTCAGGCAGTCTTCAGATTAGCCTAGCGGGTGAACCTGTGAAGTTTGGTAGCGATTGGAAGTTTGAACGCGGGCGAAGCCGCGGGTACTGCTAGTATTAGATAAATGTGTCGTATAGATTTAAAATTTTATACATAGCACAGATCAAATGACTTATATATATTTCGGTAAAATTAAAAAAAAAATATTTAGTGAAAAGCAGCCTGCTCTCATTTTTTTTAATTTGACACCCGAAATTGTTTCCCACAAAATTGCGACACATTTCTTTCTACCCTTTAATAATTGAATTTCAAAAACTCATTTATTAGTGGTTAATTGTGCCATTATAGAATTGGGCTGCAAATATTTTAGGCATTTATATGTCATGTACCTGTATAATTTAACTGCTTTAAACTTTAACTGCTGAAGTTGTGAGCGGGTGAGAGAAGTGGGGAATGGAGTGAGGCTTCTTAAAATTTTCTCTATTAACTTGCCAAATTGAGCCTTTAAATTAAAATATAGGCCTTTTAAATTTATAAAATATAATAATTATTATAGTTTTAAAGTAAAAAATATGTTTTTTAAGAATCCCATACATTACGTATGCGATTCGTCAAAATGAATAAAAGGATCTAAACACAAGGGTTTTATTAGTAGAGCTGCCGTGTTAATACTAATACCGAAATCCTCAATATTTCAAGTACAACTGAGATACAACATTATTTCCTCTGTTATATATCTTCCTGAGTTTCTTTCACCAGTTCTTCTCGGGTCTAAGCCTTCTTCTTTTCGAACTGTTAATAGACTCATGACGTTCATTAAAAAAATAATAATTTAATGCTGAATAAAATATTTTAAGTTTGAATTACAGTTACAATATGAAATTAATATAGAAAGTTAGTCAATATAGTGTTTGTGTTGCAGCGGGCAGGAAGAGTTGGATAAAACTTTGCAATCACTTTCAAGTCGTTGCGAGGCGTTGCGTTTACAAAGACATTATCTGCTTAGAAACAGAGCCATCACGAATTCAATGTTCTCTCGCAAATATTAACTAGCAATTCCTAGTTTAATTTCAATAATAATAATTGTTTTTCTTTGTAATATCTTATCGTCCTTTTATGAATAAAGATATCAAAACTTAGATATTTCTTTTACTTATATGTTGTGTTTATTAGTTACGGTATAATTTTTTCAGCTTAATGAATACCTACAAATATCTAATATTTTCAGAATATAATAATGACACGCTTTCGATTCACCAATTTAGTTGATTAAATTTAACTAATGAAGTAAATAAAAAGATTTCACATAAAAGGAGAAATGTTTTTATTTATCTGCGAATTATTTTTCGGCAATGGCAATTAAAATCGGCGAGTCTATCTGTTTTTGTTTTTTTTTAATTCTTTTTTATTTGGCTGTAGTCAAGTCATTATAACTACTACCTAATAATTTTTAAAGACAATATAGAAAAAACACTACAGGGCATAATTGTATATTATATACGTACCTATTACGGATAGAAAGAAAAAATATAAACATTACAGAATCCAAAATGTTAGATTTTAAATTGTAAAAATAAAAATGTTATATTTCAACTTTAACGGCTCATACGTTTTAAACGTTAGTATAGATTTCTCGGAGATGGGATACTTTCCTGCAGTAAAAAGTATACTATATGCTGACCCGGATAACCAGCTATCATCAAACCAAATTTCATCTAAATCTGTCCAGTGGTTTTCTCGTTATGCGTTCCTAGACAGACAGATAAAAATTCTAAAAACTACAGATTCGGCCTCTATATCGGTAATAATCACTATTTCAATAAGATTTTTCAAAAAAATATTTCATGTACAGATTCGACTCGGTTACAATTTTATTAGATGTAAAGATTAATGAATTTGCTATATTTCTTTAATAATTTTTGAGCACCTTCATCATCGCTTAAAACACAAATTTAAGCGATAATAACCGAGCTCGAAAATCATTTTCACGGCGTTAAATGTTCATCTATTAAAATGCTCTAAAATGGCTGACCTATTATCGCAACAACGAACCCATAACTCTTACTCGTTGGCTAGTACACTTGCAGTGTAATCCAACGCCAATCGAACCATGACTAATAATATACATAATGTGCTCGTACGTTCTTGAGTGAATTAGTTTCTTTAATTTTTGTGATTATAAAAACTATATTAATAAACAAAGTGCAAATACAAACAAGCTGTAGTATTAAAGTCCACTCAACTGTTTCAAACATTAAACAATAACGTAGTCAATAAGCTTATCATTTTCCGCAACTTCGTTGAAACATAATAATTGAGTTACATTTGCCGGAATATGCCGGATTAATTAAAAGATAATTAATTTCTATTGGTGTTTTACTGAAATGACAACAAAAGAAGTATTTTCTTTTTATAAAAATGCTTAAGTAGTAAGTGGTCTTCTTTTATTCAACTTTATACCTTACTGCTTAGTAGGCAGTGGTAGGCCAGTGGTAACGCGCTCGCTTGGGACACCGAGTGAAGCGGGTTCAAATCCCGGGTTTCGCACCTCTGATATTTTCATGTGCGAATCATTTCTAACAGGATTACCACTGGCCTTACGGTGAAGGAAAACATCGTGAGGAAACCTGTATGTCTGGGAGAACCTAGCAAGTTTTTGAAAGACATGTGAAGTCTGCCAACGTGCATTTGGTCAGCGCGGTGGATTATGGCGTGA